GAGTACCCAGGGTTATCAAGGTGTGGTTCTGTAGGCCCTGCCCTGCCATTTCTCCTGCGCTGTCAACTCTAGGCAGAGAGGCGATCTTGGAGACAGAATAGGCAGGTTCTACCACCCACAGCTTGTGCAGGAAGGAGGAAAACAGAACCAGAGTTCCACCAGACCCAGTGGTTGGTGTATCATGGGAGGGTGAAGATGGCCCCTTCAATTCCAGTAAGGCACCATCAGACCTGAAAGTGATACAGTGGATCACCAACCCAATAATTAACTCCCTTTGAAGGCCTGGTCTGAGGACCATGTGTGCTCTGCTGCCCTCCTGTGGATTTTTGTGGTAAGTGCACAATAGGCCCCGCCATTCTCCCCATTTGCCTTTTCTCTTCTCTGGATATCCTCTTTCCTGGCAAATGACACCCTTTAAAACCTCAGCCCAGGAGGGCTGGAGCAATGACTCAGTGGTTAAGAGCACTGGCTGCTCTTCCAAGGAACCAAAGTTTGATTCGCAGCACCCATATGGCAGCTCTGTAGCTCTAGTTCTGGGGATCCGATTACAAAGTCACCAGCCACACACGTGGTACACTAACATTCATGTTGGCAAAAAAAAAAAAAAAAAAAAAAAAACACCTTAGCACAATGCCAGGCATGGTGGTGCTTGGGAGGCAGAGGCAGGCAGATAGTGAGTTGGGGGCCAGCCTGGTCTACATAGCGAATTCCAAGCTAGCCAGAGCTAGAGACCCTTTCTCAAAAAAAGAAAATAAATTTTAAAAAAAAATTTAAAACCTCCAGGGGTGGTGATGCATGCCTTTAATCCCAGCATTTGGGAGGCAGAGGCAGGCAGATCTCTGTGAGTTCGAGGCCAGCCTGGTCTACATAGCGATTTCCAGGTCAGCTAGGGTTACAGGGAGACCCTATCTCAAAAAGACAAAACAACACACACAAAAAAATTTAAAACCCTCAGCACAGTGGAGCAATATTGCATCAGTAGCTGGTACCATGAGACTTGCTTCCCAAATACCATGAAGGGAAGGACTTACTAGGATACAGTTATCATACTTATTAGATAAAGTATTGCTCGTTGAAATTTGACTCACGCTAGAAGAGAAAACATCTCTCCAAACTGTCTGAACATCTGACTTTTGTTATTACCTCTTGGGATCTGAAGTCCTCACAGTTTCTAATCTACCTCCCAAGAAAATGTCAGAAGCCTTGTTGAGAACTGATTGTTCACAGAAAGGAAGAGGTCTTTCATTCATTCATGTGCTTCAGTGAGGTGTACCATGAACCAGGCACCAAGGATGCTGGAAGCATCATCGCATGATGGTAAGAGGGCAGCAGTGGAGTCACAAGCAGCAGCTGCCTCCCAGTGTGGCTTTCTGCAAGCATCTTGACATCTAGGCTTTCCTCTCTCCCTTCACCAAAGTATGAGGATTAAATGGGGTAATATCATAAAGTCCTTAGTTCTGAAAGTGGTTACAGCTGTCACAGGATGCTGACATTTGTTACAATACAGAATAAAACAATATTACCTATCTCTCCAGACATCATGAGCACCCAGTGTCACCCCTGCCTTTGAGGAGTCCTCAACCTAGACCAGTGACTCTCAAGATGGTCCCCAGAACCACAGCATCCACATCAGTCAGAAGCCTGTTAGACTTGAAAAGTCTAGACCTTCCATCTCAGTCAGGAACTCAGGAATGCCCAGACACCTGAATTTCACCCCCACACATCCTGGTGATTCTAGTACATGCTGAGGATGAAGAATTGCTGATGGAGGGAAACTAGCACACATAGAAATAATTATGATGCCCATGGGCTTCCCCACAGAAGAGAGGGTCATGAAGAACAATGCTCACGGGTAGAGGAGCAATACTCATAGGGCTTACTCAAGTGGGAAGGAGGTATGTGTTGAGGGAACCCCAGTGGCTTGGTGTGACTGGAAGAACAAACTGGGGAAGGGCGCTGAGAAGGACAGAACTAGAAGCCAAGTCAGGAAGTCCTAGAAGTACTGGAAGGAGGAACTTAAGCTTTAACCTGTGTTGGAAACATGGAAGGATATTAGCAGAGATGGCATGCACATATTGTATTCTAGAAAAACTTGCTGTTGCAGCATTCTAATCTGGAGGCAAGAAGATGAATGGAGAAGCTGCTACAAAGGTTTAGGTGAGAATGAACTCAGGCTGTGGCCACAGCATCTTGAGAGACATACAGGAGGGATTGGGCTCATGGGGAGGATAGGAAGGGGTAAGGCTCTCTGAAGGGTCTGCTTTAGGGTGCTGCTGATACAGGGGGATGCAGAAAAGACAATTCATGTCAGCACACACCAAATGGAGGGGCTCTGCAGGAAGCTGCAGTAATTAATTATGCTCCTACTTATAGCCCAATTTTTCCATCCATCCATCCATCCATCCATCAAGCCATTCATTCATTTCAGTAAATACTGGGTTCCTATCATATACCAGAAAGATGCTAGGACAGTGGAAAACAAAATAGGCAAAATCCATTCTCAATGATTACCCAGCAGCAGAACACTACCAAAAATAAGCTGGCATGTGGCTCAGTGGTAGAGTGCCTGGTGTGGGTTTCTCATCCTCAGCATCACAAGAAGAACCAGTTGACAAGTAGGAGCCAGGTAGGTGGATATAGGAGGAAGAGACAGTGCTCCAGGCATAGTGAACAGACATACAAAGGTCCTGTGGGGGTCAGGGGATGTGATGGACGGAGGAAAAGCTGAAAGCACAGCTGGCTAGTTGTGGGAGAGAAGTGGGCAGGGATGCACCATCTTAAGGTGGTAAACTTTTAAGGATGAGTGAGATGAAGCAATTTATGAGAGTATTTTATAAGCAATCTCAGCAACTAAATGTATACTAAGAAATATTAAGATGGCATTTGTAAGAATGAGAAAAGCAGAAAATGATGTGAAGTGAGGATTGAGTGACCCTTGAACAAGAGCTTGGCTATAACAGAGCAGTTTCCAAGCAGGTCATGTGCAAAAAGCCTTTTCTTTCTGCTTTAAGGATATGATTAACAGGGACTAGAGAGATGAATCAGTGGTTAAGAGCACTTGTTGCTCTGAATTCAGGCAGCTAACAACTGTTTGTAACTCCAGCTTCCAGGGGATTGGATGCCCTCTTCTGGCTTCTGCAGGCATTGCACACACATGATGCACTTACATACATGTAGGCAAAAACTCACACACATTTAAAAATTCTTTTTTAATTTTTAAAATATATTTTAATAGAGCCAGGTGTGGTGGCACACACCTTTAATCCCAGCACTTGGGAGGCAAAGGCAGGCAGATCTCTGTGAATCGAAGCCTGCCTAATCTACATAGTGAGTTCCAGCTCCAGTTCCAGCTGGGGCTAGAAGGAGACCCTATTTCAAAAACCCCTCCAAAAACTTTAATTTAAAAAATATGGTTAAGACCAAGCTGATGTCCATGCTATCTGGTCCTGATGCAGAGGCTAAAAAGAAAAAAAATGAAGCCGAACATGGTAGTGCACACCTTTAATCCCAGCACTCGGGATACAGAGGCAGGAGGATCATTGTGAGTTCAAGGCCAGCCTGGTCTACATAGTGAGTTCAGGACAGCTGGGGCTATAGGGAGACCCTGTCTCAAAAAGACAAAAAAAAAAAAAAAAAAAAAAGCAGCTGGGCATGGTGGCACACACCTGTAGTCCCAACACTTGGGAGGCAGAGGCAGGCAGATCTCCTTGCATTTAAGGCCAGCCCGGCATACATAGTGGATTTTAGGACAAATGGGGGTACAAGGAGAGCCTGATTCCAAAAGACAAAAAAAAAAAAAAAAAAAAAAAAAAAATGACACTCAGCTGTTCTGAGGGATAAAGATTTTATCATCATCATCATCATTGTCATCATCGTCATCATGGTCATTATTTCTGGGCCTCACATATGCTAGACAAGTGCTCTGCTACTAACGTGTATCACTAGCCCCCTTTTTTCTATTGTGAGACAGGATATCACTAAGTTACCCAAGCTGGCCATTGCTATGTAGCCTTTACTTTGAGATCCTCCTGTCTCATTCTGAGATTGCAGGCCCATGTGACCAGACCCCGCTAAGGACGAGGATTTCAAAGATGGAAGGCTAAGACTGGCATCTCCCTCCCTCACAGCTGCCTCTGGCAGAGCCAGTATCTCAGCTGGGGATACTGAGGGCATCTCAGGGCAGTGGGCAGTGGACAGCAGGACTATGAGTTTCCTGCAGAATATAGGGGTAGTTCAGACAAGAAGCCCACAGGACTGGGTACACTGAGACTCACTTCTGGCAGGAAGCCAGGATTCAATCTTCTGGGAAGCTGGGACAGGGTGACAGAGAGGGTAGACAGACAGACACTGAGTCCAAGCAGAAGGAAATGAGTCTAAGTTCATGAATATGCGCCTCTCCAGTTCAAAGAGTCAGGTCCTCTGCCTGCCCACTTCAAGCCAGCCAGCTTCCCAAGACACAGTCACCCCCAGGGTCAAGGCTCACTGCCCACATGAGCTGGAAAAACCCTTAGAGGGAAGAGAGCACCCTACATCCCAAGAGCCACAGAGGCCTCTACCCATGAGAGCAAGGGTATCTGGGCCTGCCCTGGCCACCACCGGCTTGTTTCCCCCAGGAACCCACCCCTAAACACTCCACATCCCACTCTCACATCTCAGTGTCCTTATCTTATTCCTCTCAACTCTTGCCTGGTACATCTATGACAGTCTCTCCTACACATCCTCAAGCCAATTTCCTTCCTGCCAGTCCAGCCCAGCCCAACACTCCATGGACCCTACCCCAGAAACCTTTCTGTGATTGACACTAGTCATCCCCCAGGCAGACAGAAAAATACACAGACACGTGCTGCTGTCTGTCTGACGTTCCTCAGTATCTCCAGGCCATCCACAGCCCCAGTGGCTATGGCCTCGGTGGCATACCAGATCCTTTAGCCACCTCCTGTCCCTAGGTGTGACAAGGACAAAAGCCAGACCAAAGGTAAGATCAGAAATTGTCTACTCACTTGATGAAGTACACAGCTCCTTCCTGGGTGGAATCCATCTCCCAACCCTTAGGCAAACCTGTGAGGAAGCAAATTCACAAGTTGTGAAGCCCTAAAAACAGCCTTGCTCTTCCCCTATACCCAGGAGCACAGGATACAGAAAAGCAGAACTCTCAGGCAAGCCACAGTGTCTAAGCAGCCACTGCACTTTCTTGCCCATCATTTCTAGCATCTAAGTTTTCAGCAAACAAGGAGAAAGGTGACAGTGGATGGAGTCCTCTGGCAATGAGCAAATTAAAGAGCAAAGGGACAAAAATGAGTCACTGCCTGATGGCATTCCTCATTCATTCCACAAACCTGTTCTGAGCATCTGCCCTGGGCCAAGCCCAATGTCAACCCCTAGACACAGCAGGGAACCCACAGATGCTTATCCTGGAAGGGTCCTCAGGATCCTCTGACCCCTTCAGATCATAAATAAAAGTTAAATCCAGAGCCAAGGGCAGGTCACTCACTCAGGACTCACAGGTCATTCGCACCTGAGATCTGACTGGGACACAAGTCTCTGAATTCCCAGCCAGTGCTAGGACCTCCTGACAACTGCTTCCTGACAATGCATGGAGGAACTGGGAAACAGACCCAAAAAACAGAGACTGACTTTGAGTTTTCAACAGAATCTCTGAAAAAAAAAAGCATTCACAGTCATGAGCCCAGAGTTGAATGGCAGAATCCCCGTGACAAGAACTGAATTTGAGAGGAAGCTAGCTTTGGTCAGGAGGTACTATGGGCACAGCACCTCCATATCCAGAGAGCTCTGTTAAGTGCCCACTCTACCAACACAGTCATGCCAGTCCTACCTTCTCAGCAAAGGAATACCCCAGCCCATGGGAGGAAAGGAGTCTTGAGAGACTCCATGTCAGACAGGGCTGTGAAGATCACTCTTGCAGGGAGCAGGAACCCCATGGCTGGCATATTGGCAGGAGGGGATTCTCTTGGCATTCATTGCTTCCCTTTTAGTCAGTTCAAACATCTGCCTTGGGTTGGAGGTTACGACGCAGCCACCTTCTGTTGGTCTGAGTCTCCCACCATATTACCAGCTGCTTTGAGGTGCACACTGCAGAGCAGAGCTTGGGTTTGGTAGTGTACCTGGCCCAGTTTGAGTCATCGTTTATTCACTTGTATTTATGAAGGGCCTGTACTTCCATCATTCCTGCTGGGGAGCTGCTCCTGCTTCAGCAGGACAGGGCTGTTGAGCTCTGCGCCTGCCCCTTGGGGACTTGGCCCAGAAAAATACCACCAGCACCTGGCGCTCAGCAGAGCAATCCTACTCAGCTATGCCTGAGACTTCTGCTAGTGTATCTAGCACAGCAGCATTATGCAATAGGTGCCAGTTCAAGGAGGAAACTGAGGCCCAGACAGGTCAATCAACTTGCCTAAGGTCACACAGGAAGTGTCTGGGCTGGGATGTGAATGCTGTTCTGCAACCTCCAATGCTGACACTCTTGCCTCTGTGTGACTCCATAAATGCTACTTGTTCCCCTCTGTCCTTTTCAAAAGGGTGTGGGTTGGCAACCTCCCCAAGTAGAGGGATCCCCATTGGGTCAGAATCATAAATAATCCTGCCACTGTGATGTGCTGGGAAAGAGGCCAGTGTGGATTCTGTCCCCTGCCTTTTTCTAGCAACTTTCCTCCACACTGCCCTCTCTGCCTGGGCAACACCAAGAGCGCTTATGTTCCTGTCCAGGCGGAGTGCCCACTCAGGCAGCTGCCCTCCCAGAAAGCTTCAGGGGCATCTTAACTCCTTCCCAGCCTTAGAATGAAGTTGGCTGCAATCAAAAAGGAAATTTGGTTCCTACGCTCTTCAGCATCTTCAGAGTCCTACCTAAGGCAATGCTGCTCTCCACTGCAGACAGCTGAGGCCCTGAAGGCAGCCCCACCAGCAGGCAGAAGGCCTCACTTTACTTGAGTTGGAAATTCAACAGGACCAATAGCAACAGCAGCCCCCACCCCATTGTGGCGCCAGCTGTCCTACCAAGTTGCTTGCTACCAACTTGTGACCCCACTTTCCTTGTTAGCCAGGTGGCCTTGAGCCAAGTACTTCCTCTCTTAACTCCTTCCCAGCCTTAGAATGAAGTTGGCTCCTCCTCTGGAGGAGCTGGTCCCCAAGGTCCCCAAAGTCTTTTCTAACTCTAAACCATAATTCTAGCCCAGATCTAAAGGTTCTGGGCAAGTCAAACTCTTAACCCAGTATATCCAGCAGTGCCAGTGATGCCCTGTGAGTGACCAAGGTGGCATCTGGCCAGGTGCAGACTTTCCCACATTGCTGTTCACAGTCCTCTCCCTCCTGGCTGTTGGTGTCTCCTGAGGGCAAGGCCCTTTGTTCACTTGTAATACCCCAGGCCTTCTGATTCCTGGTGTCTCTACCCTGCAACTCCAATGGAAGACTTTTTCTCTGGTTGTTTCTTGTGTGTTGTTGGCCTGTATGTGTCCTGCCTTTCCCACCAGCCTGGGAGGTCCAGAGGGCAAGAAGGAAACTGATGTTAGCTTTGGCCCCTTTCTCTCAAGCCAAAGGAATGCACCAGCAACCAATACAAACAGCATTTAAACTCACTAAAACTAAAACTTACAGTCTACTGTAAGCTAACCACATTTCCAATGCTCACTAGCACAGGTGGCTAATGGCAACTGTCCTGAGCAGCATAGGTGGACAACAGTCCAGCCTGGCATGCAGCACAAGGGCTGGATTCTGCCCAGGTCAGAAGCCTCAAGATAGAGACAACATTCAGATTGATCTGTCCTCCAAGATCTGTCCCCAAATACTAATGGTAGAGGTATACCCCTGGAGAGACCTAGAGGTGTTCAGCACTGTTCCCCAGGGGCAGTTGAGAGGCTAGATTGAGCCTACCGTGGGCGAAGGGGAAGTTAGATTAGAGCTGAGGCCAAGGGTTTCTGAAGCCACCTCAAGCTATTGCTTCCTCATCAACTGCAGGTGGTTCCTTACCTGGGCTGGAGGAGTGTCCGCTCTGGATGGGTGAGTCTGTACCAGGGTGTATCCAGCTGGTTGACTTTTCCTCATCACTATGGAAAAATTGATAAGGAAGTGTCAGTTTCACAAAAGGCTTCCCTGAGCAGAGTCCTCACATGCCAACTCAGACCTACACTGACCACCTGAGTCAGGCCCGAGATGGGCGAGGCACCTACCTTGCCATTCATTCGTTTGCATTCTCATCTGCACATCCAACTCTGAGGATTCAAAGGTGAGCAATGTCTACTCCCCCGCCTTGAAGAATATAGTAACGAAGCAGGAAAAGAGACACATAACAGTGAGGCAGCAGGAATATACCCCCTCCTCCCGCGGGTTGCCAGGTGCAGTGCCACACAGAAGAGGGAATGCCCTCAGCGGGGCAGGTAAGTAAGAAGCCTTCACTGAAGAAGCCACATTAGGGGGACTAATGGAACCCTTGGAAGGCAGTTCCTTGGATGGCTGACAGGCTGTCACGATGAACAGTCCTGTGTGCCTGCAGCTCTGTAGATTTTCACTCACATCATTCCCTCACTTTTAAGAATATGACAGAGGGAGGGTGGTGGTGGTGGCACACGCCTTTAATCCCAGCACTTGGGAGGCAGAGGCAGGCACATCTCTATAAGATTGCAGCCAGCCTGGTCTACATAATGAGTTTCAGGCCAGCTGGGGCTACAGGGAGACCCTGACTCCAAAAATAACATAAAATAAAATAAAAATAAATAAATAAAATAATCTCAGCACCTGGGAGACAAAGACATATGGATTTCAGTGAGTTCCAGGGCTAGGGATGGAAGTCCCTGTCTCAAAATAATAATGGTAATAATAATAATAATAATAATAATAATAATTTGACAGAGGGTCAAGGGTGTAACTCAGTGGTAGAGAGCTTGCCTAGCACATACCACAAGGCCCTGGGTTCCATCTGCAGTACCAAAAGGGGGGAAAAAAAGAAGCTGACAGATTATGAATTTGAGGTTCAAAGAGGTTAAGTAATCAGTCCAGTGTAACACTAGTAAGTGATGAAGCCAGGATTCAGACTAGGCATGACCTCCCCCACACACCAAATCCCAGGCTATTTCTAGTATCTCACACCCAGTGAGGAGGGCTCCCTAACAGTGCAGACCCTCTAGACTGCATATGTGAAGGCAAAGGAGCCCATCAGTTTCCCTCAACCCTACCATCCAAGTGACACCAATTCTTCCAGATCCATACAAGTCCCAGCATGAAGAGTCTGCCAGTCTTGTCCAATTCAAGATGTAGAGTAGGGGCTTCCCACATGACCCTGGCTTTAGGGTTGGGCTTGGGGCAGGACTCTATTCAGTGTCTCAGGTATAACTGACATGCATAAATTCCACTAAGAAAGCCTACTGAAGTTTTATTGTAGTAAGATATAAAATAAACTGCAGAAGTGTATAAATTAATGTTTTGATATATGTGCACACCTTGAAAATTATTGCCAAATCAAGATAATGAACCCCCAACATTCTTTGAGTTTCTAGTTTTACACAGATGGAATTATACAAGCCATAATTCTTGGTCTTAACTAACTTCCTTCCTTCCTTCCTTCCTTCCTTCCTTCCTTCCTTCCTTCCTTCCTTCCTTCCTTCCACACTGTAGCATTAGTAATTCATGAGTAGCTCTTAGCCAGCATTTTGTTGAAGGATGCACCCAGTGTGATCATCCACTCGCATGTGGGCCATTACAAACAAAGCTGATGTTAACATCTGTAGACAGTAAGGAGACAAGCCCTTTATCTTTTCTCTTGACTCCATTGACTTTTCTCTGAGGCTGGACACCAGCTGAAACACCCTTCTGACAAGCAGAGGAGAAAAGGCACATTTTCAGTGACCACTGTATTCTGGAGCCACTGGGAGCTATGGGAGACGACCTCTAACAATGGGGCCTCAGGTCTGGGTTTAGTACTGACTGAAAGTGGGAAAGGCAAGGAAGGGGAAAGGCTTGAGGGAGATTCAGCCAGTGTCCTTGGCCTCTTGTACTGCCCTGATCTCTCCTCCTCTCATACAGTTCCTCCCCAAGACTTCCCCTCCACTCCACCCCACCTGGACGTTGTGGACATCCCATCATAGGATGACTTCCCCCGACCTGCAGGCTTCAGGTTCTTCTACTTGCTCTCCTCCCTCCCTCCCCTTGATAGCCTGGCCCAGAACAATGCAGTAGAGGGCTGCCTCAGCTCCAGCCTTGGGGCTGATGGGGAAGCTGGACCCGGGAGGGCTATCATAGCAAATCCAGTCTCTAGGATGAACTGAGCTCTTCTTCAAAGTCTTCAATGGACAGCTATTGTAACCTGTTCTAGGGCCTTCCCACCAGCCTTGAATTTCCAGCCTACCTCTTCCATACACCCCACTAAACCTTCACTCCCTACAGTCAGGAGGTTTTGTGTTTTGTTGTTGTTTTTTTTCTTTTTCTTTTTGAGACAGGGTCTTCCTGTAGGCACAGCTGACCTGGATCTGTGTAGACCAGCTTGACCTTGAACTCAGATCTGCCTGCCTCTGCCTCCCAAGTGCTGGGATTAAAGGTGTGTACCACCATGCCCAGCTGAGTTCTTATTTTTCAATTGAAAGAAAAGTCAAAATAATTAGACACCCCCATACATCCTTCCACCCTGTCTGCAAACTTACCCAGCTTCTTGCCTGTCCTTTCATTCTTGTCTCTACACTGGCGACAAAAGACCTTCTCTCCCATGAGGCTAACACTCCACCTGGCAATAGCCCCATCCTCTCCTATCTTTCACAGAACTTTTATTATACTGAGCACTCCAGCCTAAATCATGAACCGCATCTTCCTGTCTCCCTCTTGGTGTCACCTCCTTTCCTGCTTTCTATGTGTACTCCTCTCCTTCCTGGACTAGCATACCTCCTGGGAGCAAGTCTCCCTAGCTTTCCTTGCTTCCTGGCTTCCTGATCGCCAGACCACTTTAGCCTGGTTTCTGTTCTCAACCTTCCCAGAAACCACTTTCCACTAAGGACACCCCTCCCACATTCCTAAGTTCAGTAGCTGCCTTTAGCCCTTTAGGTTTTCACCTGCATTGACCACCACTGACCACTCCTTTCTTCTTCCTTCTCAACCTCCCTCTTACTTGCCTCCCAACCAGTTCTGGTACTATTCACCTCTGTGACCCCCTTGATCCCATCTCTACCTTGGCCTCTCTTCTTCTACTCTCTCCTTAAATGCTGGTGCTGCTGGCTATCCTCCCGTCCCTTCCCTAAAAACTCTGGGAGCACCCACCTCTGCAGGGAACTCCTAGGACTCTTTTTCCAGCCCAGGCCTCTCTCAACTCCTAGACAGTGTAGCTAGTTGCTACACATCCCCCTGAACCACACATGAGGACTTCAGACTCTATATTTCCCCACTGACTCCTCTTCCTCCAGTTTGATCTCCATCAAACTCAAGTGGGACATTCTGGGATCCTCCTTCCTTCTTCTAAATTCAGGTATCAATGGACACTCTTAATCCTAAAGATGATCCTCTTCTCTCTTGCCCCTTCATCTCTATTCTTCCTGCTTTAGACTCCAGCAGTTCTCTGGGACTTCCAGCTTTCACAGTGGCTTCCTAACTGCTTTCTATACCAGAGCAGCCACCAGCCCTCATAGCTGCCCAAGGGATCCTCCTGGATACAGATAGGACTGTGTCAAGCCCTTAGGTAAAGTCTCCCATGGTAGTCAAGTGTGGTGGTGCACGCCTTTGATCCCAGTGCTTGACAGAGGCAAGACGCAGATGGAGTTCTGTGAGTTCAAGGACAGCCTCGTCTACATAGTGAGTTCTAGGCCAGCTGGGGCTACAGGGAGACCCTGTCTCAAAAAGACCAAAAAAAGGGGGCTGGAGAGATGGCTCAGCATTAAGAACATTGGTTGTTCTTGTAAAACCGGGGTTCGAATCCCAGCACCCACATGGCAACTAACAACTGTCTGTAACTCCAGTCCCAGGGGATCCAACAGCCTCTTCTGACCTCCTCGGGCATTGCATGATACGGGTGCACTCACCTACACGCAGGCAATACACGCATACACATAAAAATAAAAACAATAAAATTTAGAAAAAAAGTCTCCCATGGCTTCTGATCTGTAAGACTGAGTCCCAACCCCTTAGTCTCACAGGTCAGGCCTTACTCATGCTGCCCATTCCTGCTTTTCTGCCTCACATCCCCTGTAACCCCTGAAGCCTCCACTCCATCTCTACTGTGCCCCTCAGAGGGTTTTAAGCACCTTGTGTAATACCCACGGAAGCCTTCCTTGAGACCTCCCACTGCCCATGGCCATGCACTTTTCCCTTCCCCTCCTGCATCAGCCCTCCCAGGTCTTCCTTCAGGGTCTTAGTTCTTTTCTCCTGGATCCAATAGATAGCACCACACAAGTGAATGCCTCTGGGACAGAGCATGCATTTTATGCTTTTTCCCATCACCTTAAAGGTAAAATCTGTAGCTAGTTGTTTTTATCTCTGTGTTATAGCAAAAGAATGAGATTGTGGAATGAAAGAAGCTAGAAGGCAAGGAGACTGGGAAGAAGGGCAGACATCAGGAGCTCTTGGAAGTTCAGGCCCTCAGGCCCTATCTTCTCAGACTAGGAACTTCAGGGAGGCACTCAGCAGTCAGTAAGCTCCCTAGATGATCCTTTTAGTTTTTATTTCTTTGTGAGATGGAGTCTCACAAGCGCCCATTTGGTCTCAAACTCTTAGGTCAAGTGATCCCCCTGCCTCAGCCTCCTGAGTAGCTGAGACTACAGGCACTTACACCTGATCCACATGATTCTCATGGGCTTTAAGTCTCAAGCACTGAGGGAAGGGACTCCAGTTCTAATCCTGAAGAAGTTCCGTTACTTAGAATCCTGACCCAGGGCCAAACACTTTAGTGGAGTTAACCTCTAAGACAATATAATTACAGCATCAATTATGATAATAGTGATGATAACAACAGAAGAAAAGTCTAAGCAAGGTGAAAACAGAAACAACAAACAGCAACCAGTGCCTGCCCAGACTACTGCAGAGTGTGGTGCCAGAGTCGGAAGTCACCAGTCT